CCCGCGGCCCGGGCGCGGCGGGGAGGCTGGCGGTCGGCGAGGCGCAAGCTGCGTTCCACTGTCCCCGCTGCTGGGGGGCGGGAGGGCACGTTCCGGACTCGGCTTAGGGAGGTTCCGGGATGGCTTCCCTTGGGGAAAATGCGCTTCTAGAAAGGTGTTCCTGACTTAAAGACGAGCGTCTCCGCATCTCTCCAGAGCTTCGCTAGGTCTGCACTAGTATTAATTAGTATTAATTATCACTACTGTTTCAAAAGAAAAAAGCCCTTCTTAAACTATAATGGAGTGTTTACCATAGAAATGAATGAAGGCGGAAAGGGTGTAGGGGATATAAAAATACTTGAATTTGCTAATCTTTAGAAAAAGAAACACTAGTTAGTAAACCAAAAAAAATTAAAAATATATGGGGATGAAACTGCTAGAAGAAAACGGGAAACTTGAAGCTATCCACCGGCTCAGGCAAGGACTAGCCAAACAGAATTTCAAAAGCTTGGAAATAGTAAGAATCAAAAAAACGGGAATACGTCATATTAGAAAGCTCCTGCACACGAAGGGAAACAACCAACAGACGGCTACAGAACAGGAGAAAATTTGCCTGCTACTCTTCCAGGGAAAGGTTAATATCTAAAACACACAAGACAGCGCCAAAAGAATCAGTAAGTGGGTAAATGAACGGAACAAACTGTTCTTAAAAGAAATACAAGTAGCCAATAAGTATACAGAAAAGATGCTCAATATCATTCGCCATTAGGAAAATGGAAATCAAAACTACATTGAGATTCCATCCCCCGCCAGAATGGCTGTCCTCAAGAATACACACACGAGCACACACACACACACACACACACACACACACACACTGGCAAAGATATAGTGACAGCTGGGTATGGTGCTGAATACCTGTAATCCTAGCATTTGGGGAGGCTGAGGCAAGAGAATCGCTGCAAGTTCAAGGCCAGCCTAGCTACATAGAGTCAAAGGCCAATCTGAACTACAACCGAGACCCTGTCTCAAAAAAAAAAAAAAAAAAAAAAAAGATGTAGGGAAAAATGAACCCTAATACTAGCAGGAATGTAAATTAGTAAAGCCACTATGGAAATCTGTATAAAACTAAAACTAAAAATAGAATTACCAT